GCGTATGAATACGAATGAGTGTCGGTGATCGTCTACGGTTCGGGAGGATTCTGGATGATTCGGCAGCATCGTCGAGGAGCCCTTGCTCTCACCGAGGTACATACATACCTATGTATTTCGACCACGTTCCAACTAGAAATTGCTAACGAAGAAGTTACTCGAAATTTCGAAGTAATCCCAATTTACGGCATCGTCGCAAATCATACGCGGCAGGACGTCCCTTCGAGAACGAAGAGGTGGACTTATTATTGGTCGAGCAGATACACCGAGTCGTTTGGATCCTTGGATTACAGTCTGTCCAAAACGGGACCTTTTTGGAAACCCCGTTACCCATCGAAATCTCACGTAATCCCCTTCCAGGGGTGAACGAATGTTGGCAGCTGACACATCTGTTTATTTATAGACGTACGTACATTACCTACCAGCCAACAGATCCGTTTCCGCGTGGACCGAGTAACCGCCCTCTGGACTCCAGCGGGGGAACAGTTTTGGAAATGTTCCCGGGCAATTGTAAATCGAATTTTTCAAAGGAATTCCTGTCCATAGACTCCGAAGGCAACTGGCAAAGAAAGAGGGAGTTCGCAAATACCCCCTGCCGCGAGAGGAATCCGCATCTCGAATTAAATCGATGATCATCTCCGAATCGGATATAAGGGAACACGTTGTTTCGTCGTGGACGAACGGGTCGTTCCGCGAATTTATCGATTTCTCGGTTCCATTCCTCGGGCATTCTTGGCTAGCGAAGACGTGCGGATTCTTGGACGGTCGCCAGAAGGCCAAACGTTGGTCCAGGTGGAAGAGGAGACGGTTGCTGTGCACCTCGAGCAAGATTCCAGAGAAAAAGGGTAACGACAAAAAAAAGGGGGGACGAGAGAGGAGAGGGACACGACCACGAAATATTTGTCAATCGCAAGGCCAGGAAGACCGGCTCGGGGAAAGTCGATTTAACGCCCGTTAAGGAAGCAATTCCTTTAAGAAGGACGAGCCGGGAGCAAGGGTGGCTGCGCGGCCTCCCCGGGATCCTCGACCTTCCTGGACTTACGACCTTTCACCGGAGAATCGCTTCCGTCCGCCATTATCGGCGGACGAATGGAACATCAATAACCAATTTCGTAAGACTAATATCGCGAAAATTAGTTTCCCGAGGTCCCTTTTCCCTCGTCCTTTCCCTTCCTCTTGTACCATCACTCTGCCTCTCTTTCTCTCTATACCTATAACGTTCGTTAAAAGGTCTACGACCTACTCGGTGCCGCTCATGGGTTTTCTTAATGTCCACCTATCGAGGCGAGAGCGATCGTGAATCTCCCTTTATCGTCTCGCAGCACCCCGTTTCCGCTCGTATATTCCTTTTCTTTTTATCGCCCACGCTACGGGCATCGCGACGAAGAAACGATAATGTAGCTTTTAATCCGCGTCATCCGAGATTTATCCCGCGTGAAATATTCATGCCGGACACGTTCTCCGAGCTCGTTCGAAGCTTCCCGAACGATCGATTCCGCTCCGAATCGGCGCCTATTCTCGGGCGACAGGGGTAAGCACGTATTGAATTTGGCCGAGCATTTGACGAAAATGATCGTTCGAAAAATTGTCGACCGTCGCGTCGGCGAGGGTTCGTGTTTTGCTCTGCAATTAAGGAGGTTCGTGCCAATTTCGAAAGACTAGATAATTAAATAAAAATCATATAGTCTGTTTATTTAGAACCAAATACACACACTCGAAAAATTTTAGACTGGGTCGTCGATAAAATAAATGAGAAAAAGCTTGTCAAACATTCAGTTTTTAACACAGCCTTTATGACAGTCTTACGATTTCTAACCGGAATTATAATTTTTTCTTTTTACAGAAACTGGAACTGTTACTAAAAACCTAGGTACTGAAAGTATAAATCCTGAGCTTTCACAGTGTTCTGGAACACCGTGTTCCAGGAATGGGTTTATGGCATCGACGAGGCGAGCGAGGATTTGTAAAGGCTTTGTCCTGCACATTTGGTCGCCAAATGTGCACGGTACGATATTATTTTATACTACCAGCAGTTTTTAGTCACCCTCGCGCCAAATTAGTTAACGGTCCATGTCATAAACCAGGGCTTTCCGAAGGGTATCGGGTCGCTGTTGTTCGCGCTTCGGCTCGCAGGGAGCCTCGCGTACGGTACCTGGAGGAAAGTCCCCAAGGTTGCCAAACTGTCGTCCACCTTAGCGGGCATTTTACATTTCCACCCCCACGAAGAGGTGCGCTGAGGGCGGACTGTGAGAGTGGGGGGCAAGGGCTTCACCGAGGAGGCTTTCAGTCTTACAAACTGAGATCAGATTCAATCAAGACTCCAAGGGAGAAAGATCAATCTCATTTTGAACAGTCAGTGTGACTGATAGAACCAAACTGGTGCTTGTGTGTGTACAAGTCAGTCTTGGTTTCTTGAGCAGGGACAGCCCCTGAATATTCACGCGTCCAAGTTTGTTATATATTAAATACAGTTCACTAGTTTTTGTTGAACCAAGTTTCCTCATTTACTGTCCGAGTTTGTGTAACCATTCGGTACGTTCTACATTCGGTGCATCTTCAACATTCGGAATCATTGCGGGCGCGAACACAGATAATGAATTAAATCTTGCACCCTGCCGAACATTCCAGGAAAATATTTGACAATACAGTCCAGGATGTGTTGGTAGTCGGATAGTTATTGGAACTATGTTGAGGACTTCAAATGAATGTAAAAAATACTTTACTTTCTTTGTCTTTCAGTGAATTCTAATTTTCTAAATTATTGAATATTGAATACTGATTATACATATAGATATGCTCGAAAAAATAACGTTGCCAAAAGTATCAGAAACGAGCACAATGGAGTCATACGACTAACCAAAATATATTTTTTATTTATAATATAATGAAGAATGACCATTGAAAATTGTCGTTGAAATTCATAGATATAATTTTTATACGCTATTCAAATGTATTAATGGGTGTTTAATACCAATTAGTAATATGATGCTTTATTGACTAGAGAGTCAGGTATGAACCACCTTAAGAATTCATTTTCATCGTAGCGGACGATGATCTCTTTTGAAGTATGAGCAGTTGAAACGGAGGAAAAGAAGTTTCTTCTTGGAAAGCTCGCGCCAGTCCGAGATCACCCATGACTTACACAGCTTCTCTTAATTGTAAATTAGTTATTCGTCGAGTTATGGTCCGATTCTCGGCTCCTTTTTCGTCGTAATTACGTCGAGATCTCGTGAACATCCTGAACTTACTCCTCCCCCCTCCCTTACCCCGCCGTGATTCGTTTTGCTTCGCCCGATCTTGCTTTCGCTCGCCAGTATTCGAGGTTCGTTCCACCGTTGGTGAATCTCGAACTTTTCTTCGCTGCAAACCGATGCTCTTTATGTAACCGCACCTTCTCGCAGAGAGTCCCCGTGTTCCGAAGCTGCTCATAGTTTGAAAATTACCGTCGTTCGTATCGACGCGAGGAAAGACTTCCCTGATGTAATTTTTTCTCTCTATTCATTCGCGTTCGAAGCGATTGCACTCTTTTCAGATGACGATTGTACGCCAATTAGAATTCCCGATATATCCGTCGGAAATCCGTGCAATCGTGTATCCTGGCTCGAGTCTCTTCGCGTGTTCAACGAGAAAATTAATGGTCAAAACGGCGCGCTTATCGTATGAATTTTATCAATCGGAAATTCCTAGTCTCTGTTGGAAACGATATTTGACGCAGCTTTGTCTCGGTGCTTGTTTCTTTTTTCTGTTCTTTTCTTTTTTTATCGTTTGCAGAACGAGACGCTCGGAATGTTAAAAGTTGATTTATTATCGTTTGATTTATTTCCCTATCGATTCGAATGCATTTACCATGGCGCAAGATAGCCGTGCACGCTTCGATATACGTCCCTCGATCGACCTTTTTATTCTTCGTTCCCTAACCCCCCTCCCCTTTTCGTTCCTTCCCCTCCGGCGATCGTCTTGTCTCTCTTTTTCTCCTGATCGTGAACCCTCCGCTCATTTTCAAGCGAACCACGGTCATATTTTTTAGGGTGGTAGCTTAAGGGTGGTGTCTATTAATAAGCATATCGTGTCAGTGGAATCGGGCGATAAAAGTGATGCATGCCGCTTATTAGATTGCTCGAATATCGCGGGACGAGCGAACGATACGAACGGCTCGCGGCCACGACGAAATTTTTCACCATGATCGATCACGATGCATCAACCACCGATACGTTTCCCGTCATCGTATGGAAACGGACTCTTCGACATAAACGTACTTCCAGCGAAATTCCGGAAAAACCACGTCTTGGTGAAAAATTGTTTTTCGATGCACCGGGAACGATACGATAATTTCTATGCGTTCAGATGTCTCGGAATCGGGCACGTGCGTCGGCCAAAAGCAAAAATATGCAAAACAGTCGCCGGGCGCGTACATCAACTTCGTCTTCCCATTAAATCCGTGGAATCGAATTTATGGGCTCTGTCTCGATCTAATTTACGGGGACGCGGGAGGTCATGCCTTTAATCGTGGAACGTGAAAAAATACAAACTGTCGAGCGTAACGGATCTTCTCCGCGACGGGAATAAATTCGTGGCTCGCCCCTAAGATACACGGGGACAGGTTCTGAATCGCTTTACAGCGATAGAAAGACACGCCATAAAAATCGCTTAAGATGCAAGCTTCTTCCCCCGTTGAGAAATCCCTCGTGCACCCTCTAGAGGAAAAACAAAAAAAAGAAATGAACGTAGCTCGAACGGAATTTTAATCCCTCCTTGGGTTTCGGCCGTTCACGTGGCTCGTCCCTCGCGTTCGGAAAAAGAAACATCGTGCGTGTACGTTTCTGGAATGTGGTCACCGTTTCCAACAAAAATTCACGCTTTACACATGGTATTTACAAGGTCACAGATTGGATTAGACGAATCGTCCCCGAGGGAGGGGTAACGAACGACACGCGATACGTTCTCGAAGCCCTTTTTGTTCGCCAGTCAGGGGTTCGTATCGGTCGGCGATGGTCGCATCGCTAGCTTTCGTCGTCCGTGGTGTCGTCCGACGAGGCCTCACTTTTCGTCAGAATCCTTTCAAGTTGTTGTTGGAGCCTGTACGACGTGTCCACGATGCAATTCATCACTGTAAACACCGTTTGATTGTACTTGCGAACCACGTTGCTCGTGAGGACTCCCAAACGAGTCGAGGCATCCTGGCAAGGTGAAAATAATTTAATCTTTGATAATGTACAGTAAATCCTCGATCATTGTCCGAAGGTTCCTCAGCACCAGAGTTCGGCACAATTATATTCGAATAATACATAGTGAAAGGTTGAATTATCTAAGGGCATCATTCTGTGCTTTAAACAGTTAATGAGATTAAATAATTATTTACCAAGAGTCAACCCAGTCAAGAAGCAGTATTATTTTATAATAAACATTGGAATTTCGACGTTTAATTAATTAAAAATGACGAAGTACGTTTTTATCCTTTATTCGTTATTCGAAACTCCTTATAATAAATTTGCCCATCTCTGCTCAGCACTGACAAGGAGAGGTCCTCTGGTGCAACGCTGATTTTTTAACGAGGTTTTGTACAGTGATAGAGCTTAGAATTCCAAAGCCAATGATCTTTTTTCACCTGCATACGGCTTATTAGTTTATGGAATATTTAATGTTCACTGCCGAAGAGCCTTCGGACAATCATCGAGGATTTACTGTACCGTGAACGTTGGTATCGATAACACGGTGTCTGACTGTTACATCGTTGCAGTTGCGTTCGTTGAACGTGGACGGCCAAACCGTGGCCAGTATCCTGTGATAGAGGTCTTCCACGTCGGTGCTGGATCCCCACAGTCCCTCGGAGTGCGTCCAATAAACGAGACCCACCATTACGCCGCTCTTCAAAAGGAACAGCACGGCTCCGCACACTTTTTGCCCGAGCGTCTTTGGCGGCGCCTTCGGGGGACAGTCGCATAGCTAGGAAAACGGGCACCGAGTTACCGTGTCTCCGGATATCGTTTGCACAGTGGAAGTACGTTTGCACACAGAAATTGCATAATATTCCGTGGAAGAGCAGTGCGCTTCGCGGGAACATTCGAGAAGCTTCGACCACGAATTCAGTGTTTCCGTGCTCTTCCATGCTTCACGCGTCGTATAACATTCCGAGAAACGGTCCCCTGAAGATTGTTCGAATCAAGCGCGCAGATATCGTGAATTTCGGAATTTCGAACGGTTGCATACTAACGAACGTCGTTGTTCGCGTAATAAACAAAGGTAGCCGATGTGCAAACCACGGGAAGACCAACGAATCGAGACACTAGCGACAAACACGGTCCACCTGGTACGTCTCCAAGAACCGAAATTCCTTCGGTACGCATCAATTTACATTCGTACCGTCGCTAATTCCGTCGACATCTTGCGAGAGGAGAGAAACTCGAGTCCCAGTGGCTGACGCTCGAACGCGATACGAAGAAACTTTTCCGGCTACGGGAGCCAAATGGAGAGGGAAAGAAGCTCGCGTTTAAAGGGACGAGATTCGTCGCGTTTACGAAACCCTCGAGAGAGTGAGAGAGATGGTCGTCGGTGTTTCTGTTCGGTACGAGTAGCGGAGTGGAATTCGCTAAACGCGACGACGCCCTCGGCTCGTGATGTCACGTACGTACGTGTCCCTAACAAGTACGGGAACTCCAAACTGTCCTCCTCCATTAGAGACCCATCGGCGTCGCTCTATACCTGTGTACACCGGACTGTCGGGCTAATTTCAGGTAAACGCAACTACGTATCGACTAACCAATTCCGTACAGGTGCTGGAGCACCATCATCCCCCTTGGCACGGCACGTCAATATCGCGCAAAGACAGCTCGGGCTTGCAACATGAGAAGGGGGGGGGGGAGCAGTGAGGGGGTCCGCGCGGCTTAACGCCAAAGGTCCCTTGTTAACGAGTCGACGTAACCCGGACGGAATCTCATTAACAGTAAATACCCTGCTCGGTCGAGTAGTCGCGTTTCAGGTTTCCTCGAACCTGCCTAGAAGGGGAACGCTGCTCTCGGCTAAGTAGGAACCGATAATCGCGAGAAACCGAACCCTCTCGCACCGGTTCCAACCGTTTCACAGACGTGGTAGGAGGATTTCGTGATTTTCGACGACATCGTTGGTCGGGATTCCTTACTTTCGGGGGACATGTTCGTTGCATGTCCCGTCGCGTGCAAACTTTGACCGCTATCGGCCTCGGGGTCCAATAAGTGGACGGTCCCGTGCTCGGACATGGTTGCATCGTTTCCGCGTCGATCAGCTTCTGTACACGCCTCGGTCTTATGCACGTCTCGGGATTGGATAGGTTGATGGTCCGAGCGATACACTTCGTTCCCCGCTTCATTTTTCTCGTTTCCTTTCAAAGAGTCCTGCGCGCTTTTGGGCTATTTCACGTGGCTCGGAACGACGAGAATTATCCGCCGAGATGGGAAGCCCGAACGTCAAAAGATTTTCAACAAGGTCGGCTGCCTCCTCCGTCGAGCTACGAAAAATCAAACGTTCGACCAACAATCTTCCGGGTTTTCGCGGTTCTGAATTTTTCACGGAAGCGATGCCCGACGGTCCGAGAACGGGCAATCTTCCGCCGAACCGCCCGGAGGAGCGTTTCTGTAGAAACTTACGAAATTTCGAAAGATTACGCGCATTCACTTTGCATCGAATAACCTCCAAGGAATAATTTATCGCAGTTGGTAGGGCGCCAGGTGAGCGACGAGGGCGGTTCACCTAGTCTTCCCGTCCAACACCAAAGGATTTTGCCTGCCAGTAAACCGACCAGAGATCTTACCACCTCAAATTTTCATATTTCTCCGGGTTACCGCGTTCCACGGGAATTTTAACCGACACACGAGCAGAAAACATATTCGATCGTCCTCTGATCGATTCGCATTCAGATTCCTCGGTACCAACTTCGCGGTCAACGATTTTTTTTTCTCTTGAAAACGTTTAATCTCGGCTCGTGGTTTCCTTCATTATCGAATTCTTATTTGGATAAATATATCGTGGAAAGAAGTCTTCATCCCACGGATCGGAAATACGATCCTTTGAATATTCATCATCGAACGGACAGAGAGGATGAGGGGGGAATAGGAGGAAGAATGGCAAAGTAGGCAACGTATCGCGACGTGTTCGAACGATCCTCGGTAGCGTTACGTATGGCGAACGCTTTGTCAAGTTTCGCTCGCGAAATCCTCGTTCGGTTCCTGCTCGTTTCGCGAGCCACTGATAAGAAAGAAGACATAAAGGGGAGACGAGATTACCACGGCTGCGGCTCGGAAGGAAAGCAGGCAGGCCGAAGGGGAGAGGGCGGACGGCTCGGTTACTCGATGAAACTTTGAGTTTCCAACGAGAGCTCTGCGCCACTTTTCCCGTCGCCTACGTGTTGCCAGGAGCTACGGGAACCTCGCGATTCCTTATTCATCAACGCCATTGGAAGAACCCGTGAAATTTGCATCCGACACGCCCGTACATTCTTCGCGTTTACGCGCCCCCAGACCGCCTGGCTTGCTCTCCGTCTAAAATTTAGAGTCTAATTAGAGTCTAATTAGAGTCTAAATTGTCCGCGGTTCTTCCTAGCGTTCGCTTTTATCTCGAGAATTGTCGGATTCGACGGAACCGTTTTCATTTCGAAAAGATGTTTGCGAAGGACGAAACCCTTCGGGAAATGGTACCGTTTGTTGGTGCGGCTGCTAAGTAATACCGTTGGGATCTTCGAGGGTCGACGGATTTGATTCGTTTCCATTCCTGCACCCCAGGGCCAAACTCGATCGAGTTTGTTCGTAACCGATACCGGGATCTTGTTTTCCGACTGCTCTGTTCCGCCCCCTTAGGTATACGCGAAACGCGTTTGCAAACGTGTCGCATAAGTAATATACAGAAATTTATCCGATAATGTCATTCCGGGAACCGGAACGGTTCTTAATCGAAGAAGGATCGGTGGAGAACGAGCAAATCTGATCTGGCCAACCCCTCTCGTGTGCTCGAGGCTAGGTTGACGTCGAAATTTTTCCCCTTTCGTGGGCCACCGCGAAACACCCCTTCGTGCGGGCTTTTATAAATTCGAGATTATGCTAAACGATATACTTTAACGGTCTCCCGAGATTATTTCGAATCGTTCCGTCGACTTCGGGGGAGGAAGGGATTCGCGTCCTCCCACTCGTTCATCTATGGAAATACGACGATGAGACTCGTTACGTCGGAGTTACCGTCTGATAATTCGAAGACGTGTGGTCGATCGAAAGTGATTTTTTCACAAACAATACATCGGTATAGTATCGTTATTGGACGATCCACTAATGCAATTACAGTTGTGCGTTTAGCAGACGTCTCTCGATTAAGTGCAGACGATGAATTTTCCGGTATATCTTATTTAAATAGGGGTAGGGACAGGGGTATAGTCGAGGATTAAAGTAAATCGAACCACGATCAGCCTTGGACAGTTAAACATTTTATTCGGATCGAAACATTACGTAGTATATACATATGAGTTAGTAGACGATATGGAGTTCTGATATGAAATCACCTATACAGTGAACTTAAAATATAGTCGTCGATTTACACGGACCTCGCGTCATGCTGATTATGTACATTCGTTCGTCTCTAATTGTAAGTTCGTTTCCGCGTTCGCTCGAATTGCTCTCACCAAGACGATACACACCATTCGTACGCTCGTTGAGAAATTCTATTTTCTCTCTCACTCTCTCTCACTCTCTTTTCTTTTTTTTTCATTCTCGAAAACGGAGTTCCTTAAACGAATAAAGAATAAACGGCCGTAACCGAATCGTTTTCGCTTCTCGGCCGAACGTTTACGGACGATCCATTCCCTTTCGGGAGGGGAAACGTTACGTCGAGAGCGTTGCGCGAGAGTTTTGCGGCTTGTGTGCGCGTTACTTAATAGAAACGGTAGTCCGATCGGTTCGACACCGCGACATCACGATTAGGCTAATCATCATGGACGTGAAAAAAGTAGTGATCGCGTCGATCAGGTCGCTTCCTTCCACGGGGATCGTCGCGATTGGTCGTGACACCAGGCGTTCTCCATAGAAAAATCGTTTGATTCGGATCCGAAAGCGAGTCTAATATTCTACGTATGCGGCGAATAGTCGCTTGTTGCCTCCTAATCAGCAAAGATCGTTGTTCGTCGAGCGTATCTGGGAAGCAACGACCTGACAACATCGTCACTTTTAACGGGATAGATCGTGCGATCGCGAATTAATAATCCGCTTCTCGATTCCCCGAACTCTCTACGCGTGTTCTCGTTCGATATCCTCCTTCGAGCTCGGAGAACTCTTGCAACGATATACATACTTATGTACAACGATACGACATTAACTAACGAGCAACGACTTTTAATTTATCTTTTTCATTTTTTTTTTTTCTTTTTCGTTATTCCTTTTTCTTTATTTTCATTGAATACACCGAAAGAAACACTCGACACTCGGGCTCGACGTTTAGCGCGTCGCGACGATCGCATTTTCGACGCGGCGCGAAACGTGTCACGCATACGATAAGTTTACGTTTTATCCTCTCTCCGATCGAAATTCTTCCTTCTTCTCCCTGTTCCGCCTCTCTGCCCCTCTGTTACACGTTAAAAGTACTCAAGCTTCATGACTTCGTCGCGAAGTGTCACGTGGAAGCCCGGTTTTTCTGACCTTATAAATTGAATTTCTCACCCGAGTATAAAGCCTCCCTTCTCTCTCTCTCTCTCTCTCTCTCTCTCTCTCTCTCTCTCTCTCTCTCCGCCTCTCGTCTCTCCCCGCGCTTCCTCTTGTTTCCCGACCCCATTCGCCTCGAGAATCGAATAAAATTAGGAGCCCAGTCGCGCGACACTGATTCATTTCACTTCGAAGAAAGGTTCTCGGATTGCTGCGCTATGAACACGTACACTTTTATTTACACGGATATTCGGCCCGCCCGCTTCCACTCGTCCTCTCTCTTTCTCTCGATATTTCATTCGACTCTCGATATTTCATTCCATTCTCGAGAATCGTACAGGGAACGTTACTCGCACTTATTGTCGATTCTTGCTGAACAACGGCGCGTCGTCATTCTATTCGCAGTTCGCCCTCGTTAAACGAAACTTTCCGCTCTACTTGTTCAAGAAATCCGAACGAAGCGGATCGTTTCACGCAACAACTTTTTCGGTAACTTCTTATCTCGCGTAAAATCCCACCGACGGGAATCATTTTTCTTTTCTTTTTTTTTTTATTACAGCGGCCTCGAAGGGTTGATCGAGCAGCCTCGAGACCGCGTTCCACGCGCCCACGAATAACTCTGCAAAAATAGTAGCTTCGGCTTATCGTTTCATTCTCCCTGCTTTCGTATTTTCGTTCGCCTTCGCGTCCTCTCTCCCTCTTTAGTATCGGTTTCCATCGTACATTTTCCAGCGTGTTCCTCCATCCATCTTCATTCGAGCAACCGGATAGGGGACGGGTCGCGAACCTTTTCTCCGTTCTCCCGTTTCTCGGCCTAATGCCTCCTCGACGTTTGGAGGATTCGATCGGTAGGCTCAGACACGCGTTTATTTACGTCCATTCCAATTCGCTGATCGACGACTGACGAGCTTCCACGGCGCCGAAAAACACCCACCAATCCCCTGATTCCTATCGAGCCTCGTGGCTCGCTAATATTCTCCGACGTCTCGATAAAAATTCGAGGCTGGTCCGCGGCGTCGTCGTTTCTTCGCCGAAAGTCGCGTTCCCGCTGTACATTACTCGAAACTGTCGCCATTTGTTCGGGATATTTCTCAGCGAATTTTCATGGACGTAACCCGGCCGGCTGCTCGCGAACTTGAATCACGTAACTCGAAGAAGAAATATGCGAGGAGACACTGTCGAAGATCGTTGGGCTCGCAGTCGGTTCGCGGAAACGCGAGCAGGAAGAAAGTTCCGGCAGCGTCCGAAGACAGAAAGGGAAGGACAACTTGGGGTTGCTCCTCGGAACACGAGAGCCAGCAACTTTCCACCTAATTCTTTCCCAGGCCGATTCCTCTTCTTCTTCTTTCTCTTATTTTCGTTTGTTCACCGAGGAAAACAACTCTTCCTCGACAGTGAAAAAAACGAAAGCATTTCGAAATAATTCTCGGCGAACGACGTCTTTCCCCTCGAAACATTCGACAAAAATGGGACTCTTATTCCGTATTCTCGAAGAAGCAACAACGACGCGGCGGTCGCGATACTCGTCGACTCCAGGTAGTTCGTTCTCGTTCATCAATGTTCGCGACGATACGGTAGATTGTCTGCGAGTGGTTCCGTCCGACGGTTTAGCGGTTTCGTCGTGGAATCGTCGGCTCGCCGCAAACGACTCTCGTCGTTGGTGTCGCTATTGACTCTTGGAAGGGATTCGCGC